GACAGAGAGGAATGATGGTTTGAGAGAGGAGTAAAGGAGGCCATCTTTGTGAAAAGAAATCGTCCATCATTAAACAGGGGTGGAGCCTCCGGGTTCAACTGTCCCCCTCTTACAATACTGTGATTGCTAGTATCACTCAGCCCTCTGTGAACAGTAAACAGCCATCAGGTGCTAATGATCCATTGTTAGGCTGATGGTCCTTCTTGAGCATGTGATCAGCTGGTTCTGGTTGTCAGCAGCAAACTGGTTGATCCACCCTGAGAAGGTGCTATTTAAGAGACTGAGCTGAATACAGCACCTCAGACTGAGGAAGTCTCTCGGATGAGAGACAAAATGTTTCTACATTTTTTTGCTTTGTTTTTTGTTTTTTTGTTTTCTTGTTTTTTTAATGTTCAGAGGACCAGATTGAAAATTTTTGGATTTTTCTACCTGGATTATTGAGCATGTATCAGGATACATTGCATCTTGTTTTTGGTTTGGTTAAGCACATAGAATAATTTCATTTATCTGTTAATTCCTGCTAACAAGCAATTTTTAAAGGTCACGTTAATCTTCATAAAACTCCAGTTGTGAACAAAGCCTTCATTTAAATGTCAGAAATAATTTCCAACAGTTGTTTTTATCATATATAGTCAAATAAACATCACAAAATGGTATAAAAGTGTGTGTGTTTTGCTTATGACATCTGAATCCTTCATATAAAAGAACTCACGGTGAAAAAAGGGTAATTCAAGGTAATTAAACAATAATCTGAATTGATTTTCAGACCTTCAGATTTTCTCTCAGACCTGAGAGTGGTGCCCCTTCAAAATAAAATTCATAACAAATTTTAACCATTATTAACCCTTCCCACTACCGCAGCAACACAAAACAGATCAGTAGCATCACAAAACAGATCAGCAGCAACATGAAACAGATCAGCAGCAACATGAAACAGATCAGCAGTAACATGAAACGGATCAGGGAGCAACATGAAACGGATCAGCAGCAACATGAAACAGATCAGCAGCAACATGAAACAGATCAGCAGCAACATGAAATGGATCAGCAGCAACATGAAACAGATCAACAGCAACATGAAAGATCAGCAGCAACATGATGTGATTTTTCAGTGATTATCCTGGTTAGATATTCATAAGGTACAAACTGCACAAACTCAAGTTCATGTTGCTGTTTGACATATTGTTTTGATTGTTTACTGCTATTAGTGCTTAGTGTTTTATTACTAGATGTTTTTAGTTGATATTTTTCTTAGTTCATATCTTAAATCTTATTACTGTTTTTCTTTTACATTTTGTTGTCTGTAACTGGGACCCTGTGTACATAATTTCATCCCACCACATGTTCAACATGTGGTGTGTATTCAGTATTTATTCAACATTTTACTTTAATTTAAAAATAAAATAAGTCAAGTCCTTATCGGCACAAATAAAGTGATGTGGAACATGTTGCATCTGTTCTTACCGAGCACAGAAGCTGCAGCGTTGTGCTGCTCTGTGAGGTGCAGCTGGGCTGTGATGGAGCTCTGTCAGGTGCAGACTCCTCTGATGGAGCTCTGTCAGGTGTAGACTCCTCTGATGGAG